ATCGATATCGATCCAATTTGTACAATTCATTTTCACATTGAGGTATAACAAAATTTTACAAGGCCACAAGCCATGTAGATATTGATTCATTATTGGCATGAATATGAAAATATATTGGGATGAGCTACAAAGGGTAAGGGTTAGGCTTAGCGTAAGGTGTTGGGTTATGGTGAGAGTTGGTAAATATGTTTTTAGCAATTTAACAATCATGACTCGATATGGATATGATATCGTCGATATCGACAGTAGGGTCAACTTATTAATCAGAAAGTACATCTGCACAAGTATTGCATTAAGAAATACAGAAGTTATTGTCTTGGGTTAGGTTAAAAGTAAGGTTTTGTGTTAGGGTGAAAGTTGGTATACCATTATGTTTTTTATCAATCATGATTCGATATCGATACGATATCGTCGATATCGACGATATCGACGACAAGTACAATCTTTGTAAAGGTAAATTATTTAAACATTGACACACACACACAGAAACAGGGACGGTAAAAGGGTTGAACAAACATGATTCGATATCGAAGCGATATTGTCGATATCGACACTACAGGAAAAGTTTTATAAGTGATAGTTTTCAAGTAACTCACATGTTAAAAACACAATATTAAGGGTGGAAACCTTAATCCTTTGAACAATCATGATTCGATATTGACAGTAAGGAAAACTTCTTGAAGGATCTTTGAAGTTGTCAGATTTTTTTCATCTTTGCACCTGAGATTTCTTAAATAACTGTCATCAACATCCTTAAGTCTGGGGATCTAATTCCCATTATTGCTGGAGATATGATGCATTTATCTCCCTTACTCCAGAGCAGTCAAGAATACACACAGAGCACTCTGACAGAAGTTTTTTTGTGCATTTTTTGAAGCAGAATTTCATCCTTAATAGACTAAGCCTGGCATCCACTTTTGTATCCGTGGAGAGTATATGCATTGTTCTTCACAACAAACAAAATATATTTCACAGGTCTGAGACCATTATGCAATTATTACATAACAAAATTGCATTTTACCCTCCTAAGAATGACAGAATTTACAGAAATTGTTAAATATTAGGCTGATAATAAAATCTGCATCTGGTCAATTTATGTTCCAAATAAAGCCTAGGTACATGTCTTCAACCTGCTATGCAGAAGTTTATCTAAAAGCTGTGTTGTAACACAGGGCAGTTCAAATGATATCAGCATCTGGGGAGATTCTGGACAGCTCTGACACTCCATTAAACTTGCTTTGATGATAAGAAAATGTAGAAAACAATTCAGATGCAACTTATTGTTGTGATTTATGTAACTGGCTTTCTCTGCAGACACAAATTAGCCATGAAATTCCAATTGAACATGCATAGTTATCCTCTTTTCATTGAATTACTCAGGAATTTCAAAGGTGTTTGATGAATTTGCATGATTAATTCAAGATTACAGCTTTTTGTTTCACCAAATTTACATAAAAATTCAACATTTAAGTTTAAAAATATAAATCTTAAACATTTTTATGGGTTTTAACACTTTTAAATGTGAAAAAAAGCAACAAAGAGACTAATATCAGGCCATTCATCATGATTCTTGGGGGTGGGTGGGTGTACAAAAACTGCTGATAAAATTAATAGGAAGTGACAAAAGAACGAAAGGGCTCTTTATTAGCTGAATTATGGTTATTCTGATATTTTGATTGTGTAAATATGTCAAATTTCTTCATCACTTTAATTTGTAATTTATTAATATTTCAGTACATTAATGCTCTTAACAAATCATGCTAAAATAAGCACCCTGACTGAGACTTAATTTAAAAGAGAGGGTCAACACCTACATAAAAGTGGTAAAATGACAAAAAACATTCTCCGGCAAACTGGAAAATCATGAATGTCAGCTGAGAAAGCATGAAAAAGTCTAGAGAACCATAACAGGCATACTATGGTGCTTAGTGACATTCTGTACAATATGTGTGCTACATGGTTAGCACTCAGAATAAGTATTCACTCTCATGCCCTGATAGTATTTATGCATTTTTTGGTCATAAGCTTCTTAGTTTTGAAAAATTCTTAATAAATTTTATTTGTGCATTACTTTCATTAGACATATTTAACTCATTTCATTATTTCTATTCCTTCACTCCAGTAATAAATGAATCACTTAAGGTGAATAAAATGAAAGTAAATCCAGTCTCTGTAAAATTGAACACTTTGTGAAAACATGTTTTACTTCTTCACATTTTATCACAGTTGTCGCTTTTGTTGAAAACTCATTCGCAAACCCAGAATTAGTCTTTTCCTGAAAAAATCAGCCTAAAGTACTTTTACGGCAAAGTCTGTAGACACTGTAATTGACTGTGGTCAGGTGGTGCACAGAGTTTAAAGTCATCTAAAATAAAAAAAACAACAACATTTTCTAACTTCTTTCTACATGTCAGATACATAATCCTACTTTGAAAGTCATAATTTGGAGTTTTGAGGGTAAAACATGACATACATGTATTATTAGTATTTTACATAGAAATCTGTATAAATTAATGTCAACCCTACTTCTAACTTTAAAAATATGTGCTTTCACACACAGAAAGTTCATAAAATGACATATTTTGTTGAAATATGCCTTTTTAAAATTAAAAATGATTTTAATATGGATGTAGATGATTTTACACAATCACCTTCAAGGTATAACACCGGTAATTGTTTTCACTATATAATTCTATATAGAATAAAAAATCATTAAAAATCAGGTATTCGAATTCATGAAAAAATATTTAGCAGGAAATGTTAAACGTTACCAGTCACATCAGCTGACACCAAAAAATAGGGTACGTACACGGCATTTTCTGATTTTTTCCATCCGCAAACAGGAATACCCTCAAAACCACGTGTATTCAATGTGTTTATAAACATCCTGTGTGCACCCCAGGAAGTGGCCTCCTATGCCCCGAAAGAAATAGTTCCTGTCAAAAACCTTTAATATTTTACAAAGTACATAAAATATTCTCAGCACAGATACCAAAAATGTAAAAATAGAATAAGGGAAAATATAAAATTTCTCACAATAAAAAAAATATTTCTTTATTATGTATGGAACTACAACTGACTAAGTTCATTTTGATTGGTCAATTACCGGTGTGATACCTTGAAAACAGAAAGCATTCTAATATACACACAAAACTAGAGAAATAATATAGCAAACTATATTATAGTAATCTGTCGATATGTAACTATATCGTGTCTTGGACATAACTCGTGGAGACCGGTCCTTCGGTTGAGACAGTATAAACCGAGGTCCCGTAGTAGTGCTGGCACGAAAATATCCCTCACTGCTCAAAGGCCGAAAGGTCTAAATTTGCAGCCCTCCACCGGCAAGCGATGGCGTCTCAATATGGGTAAAAAAAATTCTCGAAGGGACGTTTGACAAATAAACAAACCTGTGTTCATTGTTAACCCAATGTGAGTAGCATTACGGGAAATAAATATGTTTACCAGAGAGAAACTGTCGTGAAGTTTCCAGGTCGTGATCGAGGACGTCAAATAACTACACTAGACAAAATTGCTAACGCACCACTTATTATTCTTATTTGTGAATTGATCATTTTCCTGATTGGTACTAGTATAATAAAATATGCCATCTTTTCCAAAAAAGTTGGATTGACAAATGTCTTGGTGTCATGTCAAGACCTTTAAAGGACCTTCTTGTCCAAAAACCAATTTCCCGACGTGCCCTGCGCACCGTTTTTGCCAAGATATGAAGTTGGTGATTACCGATGGTGGTCCGTGACGTTGCGACGGGAGCAGTCTCCCACTTAAATATCAAATGATATACCCTGATTGACTACCATACCGCTTAGTAGTCATCCAGTGCCTTGGTGTCCCTACCAAATCCACCCAACTTCCGGTTGCCCCAATTTTGTGGAACAATCTTGAAATTATTGTGTGGTGCTCACTTAATGCCGTCGATATCTATTGTAAACATTTTTATGATCGTTTATTCATTTTCAACAATTTTTCACCAGACAAATTCATAATCATTTAATTCTTTCCATTTTTCACAAATTTCTTCAAAGGAACCCCCTGTAGACACCATACTGGCTGCCTTAGCACGCTCTTCTAGAGTCAAACGCCGCATACGGTGTAACTTTTTTTCTGAGTTTTTAATTAGTACAAACATAAAGAACTCAACCACAAAGAAAAAATTAGAAATTTATTCCACCAAAAAAGTATGGATATGATTTTAATTTTTTCTATGAAGTGGTTACGCTTCAGTAAACATTGTTTTTATTTATCAGTTAAAGCATTTAAATGTCTCATTTTTTATTAAAGTAACATAATTATATATCAAAAACATCATAAACAATTTTTGAAAAGAAAAATGTTAATTTATTTAGGTGGTGCGTTAGCAATTTTGTCTAGTGTATTTCACTCAATTGAATGGGAAAAGAAATGGGAAATAGTGTACAGTTTACTAGTATTTACCCATAGCGGTGTTCAGTTGGATATGCGTTGCTAATTATATCCGGTCTTGTTTATTGAGTACGATGCGAGTTATATAGTGAGATCTGATGACTAGGACTAAGAAAAGTATAAACTGACAGTATAAACGCTCAAAAACAATTACATATGATGGGCGTTACCAGTTTTATTTTTAAAAGGATATACGCAGATGATTATCTCAAGATTATATACATATAATTATCTTAAGATTATAAGCATGTTTGTAAAGTGCTCTCATGATAGTGAAACAAACGGCGAATTCAAATCTTAATGTTGGAGATCTTAAAGATCCTTTTTTTTCTATTTAAGACGACGCGGAAGGAAAAATAATTTAGACTCCACATAAATATTTAGTCCGATGAAGACGATTCTACTCTAACACACAACGTAATATGATTATTTTCCCACTTATATGAAGTAAAACTAAGTTGACAGGGAAATACAAATGCTACTTCCTGGTCCGTCGTTCATAAACTATTTTTAAGGGACAGTGGCTGGATGTGTTATTGAATTAAAAATGTTTAAAGTGAAGGTAATGATATGGATATTATTCATGGTACAACTCCATGTGAAATTTTTTGCCTGTTCAGGTTTGTATCATTTTAAGAAAATATCTTTGAAATCATATACATTAAAGTAACCATCGGTTTATTCTTCGTGCTAAATATGAACTGATTTGTTTTTGAAACGTTGATTCTACTTTAGATTCAACAAATCAAACACCAAAAGTAAACACCACGGCGTCAACTACAACAGCCTCAGTAACGGAGTATTACAGTTCTACTTCAAATAACAATGTGACACAGACAACTAGTAAGTGTCAATGTGTAGGGATGACCTTACCAATATTAAGTATAATTAATCATTTTTAAAAAAATGGGGTACTTATTGGTGACCAAGCAATATTAAAACATTTTTGTGTCATGTATTGTATCTAAACTTAGCTTTTAAAAACTATATGTTAGTCTTTTTTCTTACTTAACAACATACACAGAAAAAAATATTTTTAAGGATAATGAGACTTTTTTTTTATAAACAAAACAATTTCGAATTCACTTTTTAGGTAAATGAATCGTATACGTGATTGAGATTTTTTTTTTTTTTTTTTTTTTTTTTTTTTAAGAAGACGTCATGAAATTTTGGTGAAGTCACTAATGTTATAGAATTAGAATTAAGATTGTAGAGTTTGAATTCAAAGATTCCAAAAATACTAAAATAAAGACAATATTAGATGAATTATGTCATTTAAAATTACAAAACAAATACTTATATCAAGCTTTAAAAAAGGAAAGTACAGTTACAGTTTTAAAAATTGAATGTCGCCATATCATCCTTCTTGAAAAATAGCTCTTGCTTAGAATTAACAATTTATAAAAATAGATACACTTGAAGCCAGGCCCAGTATAAAAATGTATATAAATACTTAAAGTGACAACACTAGATAATTACAAAATGTAGTGTCATTGAAACATGTGAACGAATGCATAAAGTGTTCAATCCAATAGGCATTTTTAAAATTGCATTATCGCTATAAAATCTGAACTTCTGTAATATATTCACAGGTTTATTTGGAACAATAATACATTTTTATTGTCTTCACAACTCCCCCATCTCTCGCGAGAAAAACAAGCAATTGTCCTGACATTTGGACAATAAGTGCATTAAGAGTAAAAATACATTTATGTTCCTTAGTTCTCCTGCCAAACGACTGAGCTTGTTTTTGGTTAAAAGCAGGCAAAAACAAATAACATCATGTAGAAGTGAAATATGTCATTTATTAAAGTAAATGATGAAAGAAGTAAAACACAGTTAACAAAATGGGGGTCAGAAAAAGGGGACTCAAACATCTTAGGCAAAATACTGCACAATCTGACCTGGGAGTAAAAATACATTTATTTAAAGATAAACTATATAATAAATAACACAGCCTTCAGAGATACAACAAAAGGAGAATCTCCCCCAACAACGAATACATCACCCATACAGCACAGCAACACATCAACCATACAGCACAGCGCCACATCAACCATACAGCAGAGCGCCACATCAACCATACAGCAGAGCACCACATCAACCGTACACCACAGCACCACATCAACCATACAGGATTGCAATTCAACCAATTCCAGTCTACCATGGAATATGAGATTCGGTAAACATAATTTCTATTATAACAAGTGCTTTTGTTTTGATTTTCTTTCTTTTTTTATTTATTTATTTAATTTTTATTATTTCATTATTTAATTTATCTATTTCTTTTATACATTCATTTATTTAAACAGTGAATTTAATTTTTGAAAAATTCATGTGGACATGAACTACGAAGCTTTACGCCAGTTTAGCTCTTCAAGATAAACAAGCAGGCGTGGAGCGTTGAACATAGTTCATGTATCTCAAGAATTTTCAAAAATTAAATTCATATCTTATATTTACATCATTTATCTGTTGCCAATCAGTTTGCCATATACATGTAGTTTTTTAAGCGTCAAGTACGCTTTTAATAATATGACGTCTCAATTAAGATATTCATGATTTCCTGGTAGTTCATGAAATGAACCGTTTTCTAATTTGTTAAGAATCATAGAGGAAAATATCTGAAAATGAAAATATTTATATTTGAGTTTCTGGATAACGTTAATATATATATATAGTTCTAAAAAAAATGTTGTTTCATTCATTAAAGTTGTAAAAAGGTTTTTAGCACCAAGAGAACGCACATGTTTAAAAATTTCTGATGGTAGCAATTCATTTTGTACATCGACAACTGCTTCCTTGTAAAATGAGGATGAGATTACTCATAGACTTCCGTTTCCGTTTAGGCCTACAGCAATTTCATTTAATTGTCTAATTCAGTTGCATTGATAATGGAATTATTATATATTCTATGCATATGGAACCATATCAAAATAAATCTTGCTTGCATTAATAGGTCTTTCCTTTCATACTGTCCGGTCATTTTTTCCCTGTCGAAGGTTTTTTTAATAATCAAATTAATTAGATAATAAGATTTATTGATAAACGTTTCCAGAGACCTTGATTGTGATGTCGGCTGCCGGAGGTATCGTGGTGCTGAGTATAGTTTGGAGTATCTTTGTCTGTTGGTGGTACAGGCGTAAACTGTAAGTGATAATATACACTGATTTACATGGAATATAATTTTGATGAAAAGAGTCTGTTAGAAATCAAATCCGCTTGAAATTCTTTTAAAAGATCCACAGTTTGCATTAAGGTTAATTTTAATTATCTGGTGCTGTCATCCGGTGTCCATCGGCATTGTCATTAAAATTTTTATCATTTCTTAATTCACGGAATCTTAAGTCTTAAATAATGGGGAAAAGATCAAGAAAAATGTCATATCTGAATAAATTTGATTTCTCTCGGGTTTTTGTTTATCAAAAAGTAATGTGCCTTCTACCTGTGAAAATTATATCCATTTTGAAAGGGTGCAAGGCTTAGGGTAGATCCATTTATTTTTTTTACGTTGAAAATTTTAATTCATTATCTGCAATAATTTCCTTTACTCTTTCTTATCTAGTAGAACATCTAAATCGTAAAATTCATATCTTCTAGACCAGAGATGATATGTTGTTTAAATTAAAAATACACATCATACTTGTAAATCCTAGTGTTAACTTCTAGACATTGTACTCGTATAAAATATTTTTGGTGGTTAATGAACAAGAAATCATATTTAAAAAAAAAAAAAAACTTGGAAAAACAATGTTCCATGTCAAATGTCATGCATGGTAAGTTATTCACACAATAAAGAACATAATTCTAAGAATGACATATTTCCCCAAGCAAAAAAATACTATAGTAAACTATAGTAAACTATAGTTAACTATAGATTACTATAGTTAGTTAACTATAGTAAATCAAAGTTCCAAAGTTTTCACTATATAGTTAATCAAAGTTCCAAAGTTTTCACTATAGTAAATCAAAGTTCCAAAGTTTTACTATAGTGAATCAAACTTCCAAAGTTTTCACTATACTAAATCTTAAAGTTCCAAAAAATGTTACTATTGTTAATCAAAGTTTCAAAGTTTTCTCTATAGTAAATCAAAGTTCCAAAATTTTCACTATAGTTTATCAACTTATTAAAGTATTTTAATAATTTTTTCTTATTTTGACGTTTGTTTTTTAGGGTGGAGTTGGGGTTGGGTGGGGCTGGGAGTTGTTGTACATGTTAATTAAAATTTACCAATTAGTTTATTCAAATGCAATATTATCATTTATTAATTAAAAAATACATGTTTACTGAAGTTAATGGAGCAGGTATTTTGGTTAGAAAATGACGCAAATTTTATTTTATAGTACATCATTTTCCTTTCTCTATTGAAAAAATTGCACGACATCTGCATTAAATTAAATACATTTAAATAAATGTTGCTCATCTATCGGCGCGAGAGACAACCTTACATTAAAATTCATTTCTTGTACATTAATTTTTTAGGTGAAGGGTCGGGTTTATAAAAAGTTCTGTGAAGCTTTTACGAATTTTGACAATAAAATATCATAAAATCTCAAGAATGGGAATCAAAAACATAATTCCACGGGTGGTACTATAGTAAATAGTAAATCAAAGTTCCAGAGTTTTTACCATAGTAAATCAAAGTTCCGAAGTTTCAACTAAAGTTAATCAAAGTTCCAAAGTTTTCACTACAGTAAATGAAAGTTCCAAAGTTTTCACTATAGTATATCAAAGTTCCAAAGTTTTCACTATATTAAATCAAAGTTCCAAAGTTTTTACTAAAGTTAATCAAAGTACCAAAGTTTTCACTATGTTAAATCAAAGTTTTCACTATATTAAATCAAAGTTCCAAAGTTTTCACTACAGTAAATGAAAGTTCCGAAGTTTTCACTATATTAAATCAAAGTTCCAAAGTTTTTACTAAAGTTATTCAAAGTTCCAAAGTTTTCACTATAGTATATCAAAGTTCCAAAGTTTTTACTATAGTAAATCAAAGTTCCAAGGTTTTCACTTTGATACTATAGTTAACTATAGTAAACTATAGTTAACTATAGTTTACTATTTTAGTATTTTTTGTTAGGGTCTTTTGTTTTGGTCATATATATAAAAATGCAACATGTACGAGGATCCTGCATTTCATAGGTTGCGTAAGAGTGGTTTACGTATAATTACAATATGTTGATGCTCATATAACCCTTAAACCATCGTCGTTTTGTTTGTCATTAGCGAATTATTATCTTCAAATATAGCTTTTTGATTAGAGATGATTTTCATTCCACGATCGAGTTGTGCGCGTATTCTTGTTACCGAGCCTTTAGCAATGGGGGAAAAAACCCGAGTTGGATAAAAATATTATTCAATCACAAAATTAGAGGTTCTTTTTTTAAATTTTTTACCTTTTCTTATGGTTTCATTCCTCTCTTGCTTTCCTGTCACCTGAATTACGCCAAATAACAATGTACACCATGGTATTACATTTCTAAAAATAGTGCCTATTATCTTTCGTGTCGTTTATTCATATTTTTTGCTACACTCAGTCTTCTGAGTTTAAAACTGCAAACATATTTATTTGTTTATGTTTTATCAAAAAAGGGTTGGAATAAAAGTATTAGATATGAAAAATGTATTGGTGACTTGAAATCCATTGGATAAATGAGTTAATTTATAATATTATACTTTCATGTAAATTAGTTGAATCTGATTTGTCAAGAAACATTTGTTAAAAAAACTATTACCCGCTGAATAATGAAGCCACGCCCTCCAGCGTAGCAACAGTCAACATTGCTTGACGACGGGTGATATTCCAAAAAATATTGACTGCGCAGAAATTATGCGCCTCGGTTGAAATGGTTTTCTTGGGGTGAAAATTTTCAATGTTACACTCAACTACATGCAATATTTATATAATGTTATTCTTTGCAGTAATCGTTTATTATCTGAAAGGAAGTCTGAAAATGATGCAGAAAAGGGTGTATTGCTACATGAAATGAATGGAAGGAAAACGTCTGCAGTCACGTACAGAGGGGAAATTATTGATAAAGATCTCAGTTCTGGCGTTATGAGTACGCACAGTAAAGTGGAGGACAACGATGAACGAATGAGCGATTTGTATGACGTCACAGATCCAGACTATGAAGACGCCGACAAAGAAATAAAAATAATGGTATCCGAAAAACCAAGAAAAATCAACGATGATGATGAAATTGAAGATGGCGAATACGATATTCTTAATGTTGAAGACAAAAAGACACAGGAGAAACGTGAAAGTGATTATGCATGCGCAGAGTTTAAAAGCTCAAAAGATGACGTCGATTCCGATACATACGATACAACAGACACGTGTAAGAGAATAGTCTGCGACAGAGACCATAAACATGAAAATTGTGAAACAGAACATCCTTTAGAAAACTCCGGTTTTAATCAGAGTGAGGTACAAAATGATGCAAACTTAAATAAAAACACTGATTCGTCGGAATCAAACGGGAAAATAGTAAATTCCGAAAACAAGACAGTTGTGTCGAAGGAGTCGAAGGACGCAAAAGAAGAAATCAAATTCCAAGAAAATACAAATCTGAATAATAATGAAGAGAAGAAATCCATTAAATCCGATGGAAAAGGTGTGAAAAAAGAAATTAATAATGAAAACAAATCTACTTTTAATGGATATGAGTTTGTAAAGCTCGTTGACGAAAAAGATGACTCGGTGAAAAGTGATGCAAGGAATTCAACAGGGGACTCCAAAAAAGATGAAGCTTTGGAAAAATTAAATACTAGTTTGGAAACCATCGAAGTATGAAAACACTGGTGATGTTCGAGCATTTCAAAGCAAAAAAAAAATGTTTAGAAATAATTTGTTATTCCTGCATCTTTAAATAAATTTCAAATTAGCCATTCTTCGATGTTTTTACTTGCTTTTATCAGATTTTCCTTTAAAGATTTTGAAGTATTAGTAGATAAAATTTAAAACTAGAATTCAACAAAGTGTATGCATTCTTTATTTACGCTTAGAATAAAACTTTCTTTTTTTCAAAGGCTCGATCGTTCTTCATACGTGCAATTTTTACTGGATAACATGAGAATGACATTTCCCCTTACAGGATAGATTTGATGACCTTTAGCAATTAGGAGAAGTTTAGAGAGCCCTCGGCAAATAATATTCTTATCAAATCCTTCAATTGCACAAAGGAAATGTTTAAGTATTTGTATGTGTCAATGTTATTTTTTTCCTAGAAAAATCCATTAAAATGTGAAGTTTGGTGAATAAATGCAAATATAATCACTATTTTTTATCCACAACATATATACTCCCCTTTGACGTCTGAGGAACGAAAACCAGCATATTGTCAACAATTATCCACTTGAATACGTGCACATTAATATTTATGTACATGTACTATGCTGAGTAATCGTCTCCATTTTAAGAAATGGTGTGCATCTGTTGATGGAAGGAATGTTTGATAAATTCATTTCTCTTGTATACAGGGAACAATATTTATGATATGAATAATGGTAGTCTTTCAAAACGTTTAACTAAACTGGGCCTTGCCAAAAAATATTTCATTTACACTTTCTGAAGAAAGTTCTGGTATTTTGTTTATCCTGGTCCGTCTGTCTGTCAGTCTATCTTCTTCCTGAAACACCTCTTACATTCTATAGGTAGTAGCCACTTCAACATTGCCCATAACTTTTGATTGGTTGGAGCTATGGCTTTCACATTTTACATGGGTATTTCTTCTGATAAGACCTTTCTTTGGGTACCATCATATTTGACTTTTTGACCTTGACCTTGGAGTTTGACCCAGTTTAGCAAAATTTTACCCAGCTTTAACCTTGGCCATAACTTTTGAACGGTTGGTGTTAGGGCTTTCATACTTCACATATGTAATCCTTGTGACAAGACCTTCCTTTGGATACCAACAACATTTTTACTGGATAACGTGAGAATGACATTTCCCCTTGCAGGATAGATTCAATGACCTTAAGCAATTAGAAGAGAAGTTTAGAGAGCCCTCGGCAAATAATATTCTTATTAAATCCTTCAATTGCACAAAGGAAATGTTTAAGTATTTATATGTTTTTTCCTAGAAAATTCATTAAAATATGAAGTTTGGTGAATAAAAGCAAATATAATCACTATTATCTTAAAAATTTTTATCCACTACATACACACTTCCCTTTTGACGTCTGAGGAACGAAAACATGCATTGCCAACATTTATAAACTTGAATGCGTGCACATTAATATGTATGTACATATATATGTACTATGCTGAGTAACCGTCTCCATTTTAAGAAATGGTGTGCATCTGTTGATGGAAGGAATGTTTGAAAAATTCATTTCTCTTGTATACATGGAACAATATTTATTATATGAATAATGGTATGAACGTTTGTAAGTCTTTCAAAAAAAATTTAACTAAACTGGCCTTGCCATATTTTTCTGAAGAAAGTTCTGGTATATTGTTTATCCTGGTCCGTCTGTCTGTCAAATTATCTTCTTCCTGAAACACCTCTTACATTCTATAGGTAGTAGCCAATTCATCTTTTGGAATATGATAGTTGGTGTCCTGTAGATTTGCAATCGTTTTAAAATTTTCGTTTTCACCCTTGACAACGTCAGGAATCCTGAGTCCACTCCTAGTCGTGGGACCCATTTCAAGCGTCATTCATTTTTTTTACGATTATACGAAAGTTTTATTTCCCCCTTAAACCCCCTGCAGGCCCGTAGCAACGGTTTCAAAAGTGGGGGCCAACTTCCCCCCAAAAAATCTGACAAGCAAAAAAACAAAATAATTATAAATAAATAAATAGAAAAAAAATTAAGAACCCTCTCTAAACTGCACACTAAAGAGTTCAGATTCTATGGTACCGGTATTTTTCTGCAGTTAGAGTGATCTGCTCTTAGATCTAAATTCCAATAAATAGAAATTTACAATATATTACTCAATTTGTAATCAATACAAGTATTCTTAACATTTTAATAGGCCAAGATAAATTAATTGAACACATTATTTACATGTATTTTCTTCATGGAAGTAAACAACTGTGATTTCTGTTCATAGATACTGTGTTGTGTTTGAACATTTTTCCCGGGGGTAAATGGCACGTACCATATATTAAAATTTAAATAGATCAGCTCAATATTTACACCTTTGCTCAATATAATTTTCTCGATGTCCAAAAAACCTTTTTGCGCTGGTGTAGAGAGGGTCCTTAACTGTCCAAATCTTGGAATTTGCCAGAGCTTGACCTTTCCCAACAAAAAGGAGGGAGCCATCCAGCATCTAAAGGAAAATTTACTATGACAAAATACTATACTCAGAAAAAGTAGCAACCCAATCTGATTTAAATCAGATCTTTTAATGGTCGCTGTACAGAATTTCGGAGCGTAACAAAGATCTGACTTTAATCAGATTGGTGGGGGCCGTGCCCCCCCCCCCCCCCGCGCGTTCTACGGGCCTGCCCCGGATCAGAAACGTCAAAGCCTGTCTTCACAAACGTTTCTTAATATTTTATGTAGATTTATGTTCATTCAAATCCAAGGGTATATCAGTGAGCTACATGTACGTATAAGGCGATCAAAGTTTTCCGTAAATAAAAATGAATATGAAATAAATAAACATACAATGTATGTTGTACAGTGCTGTAAATAAAATGATTCATAGGAAGAAATTCTTTGAATTTTCTCTGATGTATATTTATGCTGAACTCAATCCATGCAAATTTCAGGGAGTCCGATTCTAATGCAGGTTCCGAGACTCAGCAGTTAAGTAACTGAAAATGATCACCAAAATGACACTGAATTCATAAAGTAAACTGTATTTACCCATGGTACAGTATTTCTTCAAAATTCGTCATTATAGTTAATCGTATTACATGTATATAGGGAAAATTACCAAATCTCAATATTTTCAGGAAAAGCGGATAAAATCACCAGATAAACATTTTCTAATTAAAATCTAATAATTTCTAATTGAAAATTGATCAACAAATATTTTTAGGATGAAAAGAATTATAGCTATCCAGGCATTTAGAGAAAATTGCATGTTTTTATACTAATATACATTTACGTTATATTAATCCTTATTAATGTATTTAAATCAATTGTTATATAATACAATATACAGTGTAAAAAGCTTCTGCTTTCATTGCAAGACATCACAGATCTATGGAACGCCATAGCTGCCTTATGTGGTTATTTCATGAGAAGATGGTGCTTTATTATGTTATGCTGTGCATGGTTTTTTGTACATTTATGTCACTTTTACTTTACTTACTTTCACCTGCAAGTCCAAGGGTAGTCATCGGCACCAGATTATGTAACAGGAAAGAGAAAATGTATGGCTGAACCGGGAAAGTGAAGAACTCAGTCTTAATTCTGATTCATGCATACAAGTAACACGTTAGTTTGAAGAAAGGAAAATATCTTAAGTTTAAAAATAACTAAAATAACCTTTAAGGTTAAAAAAAAAATCTTAACAATGTGAAACTTATAATGAGTGCGACTTATTTGATATGGAGCACTCTTGGTGCACAAGTTACACTTGCAAGTACATTTCATGTGCCTTAAAATATGCCTGAAGCAAACAAGATTTAACCTCAATATATTTTATCCCACCACCTCTAATTGTCCCCCGCTTTCGCGAAAGCGAGGGGTATTAAATCTCATTCGTCTGTCTGTCTGTCATTCTGTAAGTCTGTCCATCTGTCACAAAAACTTTTACTTTAATCATAACTTTTGAACAAGAAGAGACAGTGCTTTCATATTTCGCATGTGGGTGAATAAAAAAAAAAATGACCACCAAATTGAAATTTTTTGAAAAAAATCAACTACCCATTACATATTTTTCACTTATATCATCATATTATACATGCATTCTAGTTAAAATTCCTGAAGTTGCAATTGAATAGAGAATTAAATAAAAAAAAGTTTCAGAATTTTTATTAGATAAACTTTATTTGTAAAGAAGAAAATATCACTATGTCCTAGAAGAAAACTTTCTGAAATACATAATCGAAAGAGCTGGTAGTTTTTTAGGCCTCAAAATGGTATCAGGGATATAAATTATTAGATCTAAACCTTGATTGAGTTTCTTCTCTTGTATATGTGGAAAAATTTGGCTTTTTGATTGTTATTTTACATTGTTTTTTTTATTCTGGTTTGAAAAGTTTTAATATGAAAGAAATATGAAACTAAAAAAATTTCCCCCAAATCATTTTTTGTCCATTTAAGTCAGTTTTTTTTAATTTAAGCCAAAAGAGAATTATGACATACAACTTTTCTTACAAAAAATACTAGATTTTGAAGTGACCCTTAGTTACCTTTTTTTGTTGCACTCCTGACATCTGATATCCGATTTTCTTTAACATTGTTTTAAAAATTATACCACACAGTAATCCATTCTTCGTTTGTGATTCAGTTCGTCATTTGATATTTTTTTATCATTTACGGCAAGTTCAGTACTTCATAATTAAACACATGAAAGTATTTAAACTTGACTTTATATTTTGAATTATTCCCTATTTATGTCAAAAAATTAGCTAAAATATATATTTAGAAGATAAAATATATTGTTATAGCATATTCTCCTTCACGGGACAAACACTGTTAGCAACTGAGCTCAACCAGAAACATTCTACTCATAATTTTTTTTCTTTATATTTATTCATATTTGATCAGCAATAATTCTAACATATTTGTTGCACTCCTGAACAAGAGCATGGGAGTCTTTAAAGTAGAGTTGTGAAGCAAAAATTATATCAGAACTTTTTCTGTTGTTTCAGTGAAGTTTAGGTGGAATTACTTGAACTTTATAACAATTTTTTCCATTGTGTATTTATTTTTCACATTCTTAAAAAAAATCAAAGAAAAGATAAAAACACATCTAAATT